AATCATTACTTACTTCTATGGTGCTTAAATATACAATTAACATAAATTAATTTATAAATATGAATTAGAAAATTATATGTGATTATAACAAATATTAATAAAAAATTAATGAAAAATTGGAATGTCAATTCTATGTGAATAAAATAATAACAAATTAATAAAACATAAAAAAAAAAAAAAAAAAAAAAAAAGGGAAATGTCAATTATTTTCTTTGAATTTGAGATGGTGTTGTTATTCAATTTAGTTAATGTGATAAGTCTGTGTTGGCAGCTTGAACCTCTCCCTCGTCTCCTCTCTTTGTGCTTTCTTCACTGCTGCTTTGTTTATTCCTCCATATACGGAACATGCAGAGAAGGGAAAAGAAACATAGTGTCTTATCCGGGATATAAGTGATTTATTGCTCTTTGATCTCCCACTCACATTGTGTAAATGTAAATAACGCTTTGAATACAATGTAACAAGATCCTGCTTCAGACAGCCTGGCTGATGTGTTTGCTTGCAGTAAATATACTCGCCGTTCCTCTGTGGATGCGTGATAACGTCACCGCCCCTCCCCTACGCGTTACGCTACAGGGACTCGTAGCTTCCTCTGGGGGATGTGGATTTGCATTCCATCATTCACAGAGGCTATTTATATCCTGCCGGCTCCATTTTTGCTGTGATTTGTTAACTATTCGTTACCTCTCCATGACTTTGGAGTTCAGACTATATCTCAATATTATTCATTGTATATATACAAAGTGCGCATCATCATCCTTCGGCTGTATACTTAATGCTTACATCCACACCCCTCACAATCTGGATTACAATCTTATATTTGATCATCTTTCCACAAAGTTTATTAATATCTAAAATTTAACTTAAACATATTATTTACCATACTTTATTGATTCAGACTTTTAATTCTTAAAAATATATATATATACCCTACACTCAATTTAAATTTAATATGAAATAAATTTAAATAAATAAAATTACATATATCTATATAAAAAATCAATAATAATGGAGAGTATACAATTTATTAAAAAATTTTTTTTCAAAATAAACAAAATTACAATTTTGATACAATATTCAATAATCACAAACAAGAACTCATAGCATACTATAGATATATAGATGACATAATTCTAGTATGGAAAGGTAATGAAACGTCACTAGCGCAACTATAAGGAATTAAATAATAATAATCAAAATATATCACTTAGCTGGAATAGCAGCGATAAAACCATTAATTTTTTGGATATATGGCTAGTGAAAGAGGGATTAAAAATCTCTACAAAAAATTACTTTAAAAATACAGACAGAAATTCATATATACCCACCCATAGTTGCCATCATAAAGCATGGATAAAGAACATACCCAGAGGGCAGTTTATGAGACTGAGACGAAATTGTACACATGATATTGATTACCAGGAACAGAGTGACATCCTTATAAAGAGATTTATTAATAAAGGGTACAAAAAAGAATATATAGTAGAAGAAAGAGAAAGGGTAGGAGTACTAGATAGAAACAAATTACTAACAAAAAGTCAGAATAACAATAGTATGGACAATGTTATGACTATTATAATGCCGTACAATAAGCAATATAAAGATGTGCAAAGAATAATAAATAAACATTGGGACATATTAAAGCTAGATAAAGATTTAAAAGATAGTATCCCTGAAAATCCAAGATTTATTTATAAAAAAGCCCCCAATATCAGAGACAAGATAGTGAAGAACGTATTAAATCCACCTAAACAAAATACACTTACTTTTTTTCAGGAAATTGGATTTTATAAGTGTGGAAGATGTTATAGTTGTATCAGAACAAAAAATAACCCCAGAAAAAGAATGCATTTCAATAATTTGATAAGTGGTAAAACATTTAAGATAAAACAATTCATATCATGTGACACCAAGGGGGTAGTATATGCATTGAAATGTCCGTGCAATAAAATTTATATAGGAAGAACAAAACGCAGGCTAAAAGAGAGAATAAAGGAGCATGTTCGGAACATTGCAAAAGGTTATAAATACCATAATGTATCATTACATTTCAAACTATACCATGAACAAAAAACAGAAGGCCTAGAATTTTGGGGAATAGAGAAGCATAAGGCACACTGGAGAGGAGACAATCTCATTAGAGAAATAAGTAAGAAAGAATCCCAGTGGATATATCTAATGAATTCCTTGCATCCTTTGGGATTAAACAAGGAATTTGATTTAGCCTGTTTCTTGAGCGATTATTAAATATAGAACATAATAAAGGGGAAAATAGAAGGATTAATGATTAAGCATACAATAGCATACACAAGCATTTCAAAGTAGTATGTATGTAAGTTTAGTCCGCATAATATTAAACTTAAAGAATTTTAGATAAACATTTTATTTTTTTTTTTTTTTTTTTTTTTTTTTTTTTTTTTTTTTTTTTTTTTTTTTTTTTAATTTTTTATTTTATTATTTTTTTTTTTTTTTTTTTTTTTTTTTTTTTTTTTTATTTTTTTTTTATTTTTTTATTTTATTATTATTATTTTTTTTTTTTTTTTTTTTTTTTTTTTTTTTTTTTTAATTCAATTTTTTTTATTGTAATTTTTTATTAATTATTTTTTTTTTTTTTTTTTTTTATTATAATTTTTTTTTTTTTTTTTTTTTTTTTTTTTTTTTTTTTTTTTTGCATATTTCTATATAATATTTATTTTTATTTTATTTTATATATTTTAATTTTGTTTATTTTGAAAAAAAATTTTTTAATAAATTGTATACTCTCCATTATTATTGATTTTTTTATATAGATATATGTAATTTTTTTATTTATTTAAATTTATTTCATATTAAATTTAAATTGAGTGTAGGGTATATATATATATTTTTAAGAATTAAAAGTCTGAATCAATAAAGTATGGTAAATAATATGTTTAAGTTAAATTTTAGATATTAATAAACTTTGTGGAAAGATGATCAAATATAAGATTGTAATCCAGATTGTGAGGGGTGTGGATGTAAGCATTAAGTATACAGCCGAAGGATGATGATGCGCACTTTGTATATATACAATGAATAATATTGAGATATAGTCTGAACTCCAAAGTCATGGAGAGGTAACGAATAGTTAACAAATCACAGCAAAAATGGAGCCGGCAGGATATAAATAGCCTCTGTGAATGATGGAATGCAAATCCACATCCCCCAGAGGAAGCTACGAGTCCCTGTAGCGTAACGCGTAGGGGAGGGGCGGTGACGTTATCACGCATCCACAGAGGAACGGCGAGTATATTTACTGCAAGCAAACACATCAGCCAGGCTGTCTGAAGCAGGATCTTGTTACATTGTATTCAAAGCGTTATTTACATTTACACAATGTGAGTGGGAGATCAAAGAGCAATAAATCACTTATATCCCGGATAAGACACTATGTTTCTTTTCCCTTCTCTGCATGTTCCGTATATGGAGGAATAAACAAAGCAGCCAGTGAAGAAAGCACAAAGAGAGGAGACGAGGGAGAGGTTCAAGCTGCCAACACAGACTTATCACATTAACTAAATTGAATAACAACACCATCTCAAATTCAAAGAAAATAATTGACATTTCCCTTTTTTTTTTTTTTTTTTTTTTTTTTTTATGTTTTATTAATTTGTTATTATTTTATTCACATAGAATTGACATTCCAATTTTTCATTAATTTTTATTTTATTAATATTTGTTATAATCACATATAATTTTCTAATTCATATTTATAAATTAATTTATGTTAATTGTATATTTAAGCACCATAGAAGTAAGTAATGATTGGATTATAGGTGGTATATTAAGAAATTCACACAACCAAAAAAGGTTAATCACAAAAGGTTGATAATATTGGAGCGCGGTACAGTATAAGAATTCATAGTTTAATTTCATACACCTAGAGAGGGTGTAATTAGTGCCTGGCGATCCAATATTTAATTAATATTCACTTTTTTATGTTTGATATTGATTTTTTAGAGTATATATTTTTCTCATTATGATACTGGATAATTCATTTGTTTAAATAAGTTTATGATATTTTATTTGCAATGAAGATCATATTTTTGGATTTGATTCAATTTTTTCTTCTTTTATCAATTAATATATATTTTCTTTTTATGTTCTGATGATGGTTTTTTTTAGATTATCGATTTGGTTAGAGTGCTACCTTTTTTCAATCTTTGTCACATTTAGCAGTTTATATTATTATTATACAGTATTTATAAAGCGCCAATAGTTCGCTCAGCGCTGTACATTACAAAGGGGGACAGAACATGTGACAGAACAGTACCAATACAATGCAAAACATGAGGGAATTGAGGGCGCTGCTCTTTCGAGCTTACAATCTTACTAAAATAATTGCATTTCCATGTTCTATATACTGTGGGGAGACTACATATAGTAAATGCAGGGTTCTGGGTTTAGTAACACTTTAAGGGTGGAGGTAGATAAAGGCTGATTGACATGCTGTTTATATCTTGCATTATGCGAGTGCAATACTGGCTGCTGTTTTTTTAATTGATTCAGCTTCTTTCAGCAAATACACGTAGACAAATCTGAAATTGTATTCTGGTTAGTAAATCTACTCCTGCTTGTGAGCTTTCACTTGAGCTGTGCCACCATGATTACATGATGTAGTATAAGGGGGCAGGAACAGACACAGTCTATTGGACCTATTCAGTTAAAAGGTGTTGAGGAGGAATAGGAACATTGGGACAAATATTAAAATTTGAGAATATGTTTTGAGCAGTAGCAACATCACATATAGCAGGTATTTTGTCACAGAAAACATTTCTAAATTTTCTGTAATTACACTGGTGTTATGTAATGTTACCATCCGAATAATGACATTTTACTTCACCGTATTTAGCAATGCAGTCAGGTACAAAGAATTTCTAAAAAAGCAAGGGTTGGTCTCCAAGTTTTAGAGGAGTTTAACGGAAAATAGTAATTACATGAAATGGCGTCAAACATTTTGCAGAGATAGAAGAGAACAACTCACAGGTGTGTCGATTAAATTTAAGAGGTATTTTTTTCCTTCATAAGTGTAAAAAAGCGATGCAGTCTGAGCCTTCACTGTAATGCCTCTTTCTCTTTCCACCTGAAGCTTATCAAGTACTTGCTTATTGGAGGAGGCTTTAGGGATACACCCTGGCATGAAGAAAAAGAACTTTTGCTTAATATGGTTAATGCAGATCAAAAGAATAATTACAGTGGCAATTCCTTAAAGCATAACTAAACCCAAGAAAAAAAAATATTATACACTCAACGACCACTTTATTATGTACACCTGATCAATTGCTTGGTAACACAAATTTCTAATCAGCCAATCACATGGCAGCAACTCAATGCATTTAGGTATGTAGACGTGGTGAAGATGACTTGCTGAAGTAATAAAGTAACTAATAAAGTGGCCAGTGAGTGTATATTGCAGCTTACTAGTCCTTCGATGATGTGGCTGCATTACTTTTCACTTATCAAGGTAGGGACATTATTATTGTTGTTAGGCAGAGTTTATAAAGCACCAACAGTTTATGCAGCACTTAAGAAAATACAGGAAGACTGTAATTTGATACAAGGGGATTAGAACACTGCTTGTGGGAGCTTACAATCTAAAAGGAAGGGTCAAGTGGTACAAATGGTAATAATTGAAGGATGAGCTGATGAGAAAGTAGGCGTACAGTTTATTGGTGAAAATAAGATTTTACCTAAAGAGGCAAATTTTCATGGATTGCCTAAAGGCAGAGTAGGATATAGCCAGAGAGATTGGTGAGGGGAGATCCAGAGGATGTGAGAGGCTCTGAAGAAGTCCTGGGAACATGCATGGGAGGAGATAATGAGGCAGCTTTTGGGAGAAGGGGAGTGATATTTTGAGATTGGTAATGTAACTTGGGGCAGAGTTGTGGCTAACTTTGTATGGTGTTAGAATTTTTAAATTTTACATACTGGGCTAGTGGAAACCAGTGGTGGTGTGGTAGGGGCAGTGGCCACTGACAGTTACAGATAATACCAGTTGATCCAGCTAGGAATGCAGTGTCCTTGTCACTTCCTGTTAGCAGAAACATAATACAGATGTACTTTGGTTTATGAATGCCTCTGTTTACGCAATTTTTGGTTTATGAATGAAAATCCATTGAAAATAAAGCCTCGGTTTACAAATTTTTTTGCAATATGAAGTGTAAATCTCCCCATCCCCCCATGTAACATAGATGAAAAAATATGATTAAAGTGCAGCCTGGGTGCCAACCATGGTTCTCTCCATAGATATAGTGGAAGAGCGAGCATAGCCAAAGTAAAAATAAAGGAAACAAAGAAACCAAAGAAAGAAAGCTATAGCAGCCACCACATCTAAGGTTTTGCAAGCTGCAATGTATTAAATGTGTGTCTTTGGTTTTAGCTGCACTAAGGGCTCATTCACACTTGGCTGTTTTACCAACGCTTGCCAAACGCCCATATAGCGTTTGGCAAGCGTTGGTCCGGCGTTTGCGAAGCGTTTTTTAACGCTCAGCAAACGCCGCATGCACGGTTTAGCGGAGGTTGCTAGCCGTTTTACCGAGCGTTAATAACGCCCCACAAGCGCCTATAATGCGCTTATAATGTTTGGGTGGTGTTACTGCTCCGCAAACGCCCCCCCGCAACCGCGTCGCAACCGCACCGCAAACGCCGGTCGGGCGTTTGCGGAGCGGCACCATAGACGAGAATAGGAGGCTTCAACGCCTCCTGACTCGACCAGAGGCGTCCGTTTTGCTGCGACGCGACGCAAACGCTCCCATTGCTGTAATGTGCATAATTGGCAGAGGCGTTTGGGAAGCGGTAAAAACGCTTCCCAAACGCCTCTCTGCCGCCTGCACACAACGCTAGTGTGAACGTAGCCTAAGTGTGAGATTTGTTTTATGGCTGATGACACTCAGCAGAGCTTCTTGGTATCTGTAAGCATTACCGCATGTATGAGTTCATACATGAGCTCATGTTGGGTCATATGTTCACAATAGTGTCAGCCGTTAGGTAGCACCAATTTGAAACCATAAACACAAGTGTCCCCAACTGTAGGCCTCAAGGCCATTTCAGAGAGAGCAGTACCTTCTTTAGCTGCCCTCTCCCTGTAGACAGGTGACTATGGCTTGGCAATGTACCCCTGAGTAGAGACAACGCAAGATTTATACTGTGGTAATAGCAGATATAGCTGCAAGGAATTGTTACATTGCAGGTAGGAAATACTTGCAGCCCAGAAACACTGAGCTCCAAATTATAACTTGAATGACTATAAACCTTGGTTCACACTATGAATTGCATGTGAATCGCACAGGAACTGCACCACATTCCTGTGCATTTCACATGCGATTCAGTGCAGTGTGATTTGAGCCCAGTTATTTTGAATGGACTCAAATTGAACTGCATCACACCAAAGACATGCATGCACCTTTTTGGAGCAGCACAGCAACCGGATCGCATGGTTATTTTGTACCACGCAATCTGGTGTGATCCAGTGCAGGCAAACGTACTGCATTTGTGACCTGCATTTGGGGTGTTGTGAACTTTGTATTGACAGCTGCAGCAGATCACAAGGGCGGCTCAATTGGAATGTGGAGCAGGAAACACGCAGAAATCATGGTATTTTGATAGCAAACTGCATTAAAAGTTGAAACCAGTTGTGTAACTATTACATACTATTATAGCCTTTAGAATCTGCATTACGATCTACTGAGAAGTGAAAGTATTAGGCTGTGTTATATTTAAAGGACAGCTTCCCTTTTAGAGAATTTGTTGTTTAAATGTTTCCCCTCGTCCCCTTCTAGTTTAGCTAAAATATCAAAATAATTCCCCCCGTCCCTGCTCCTGAGTTTATCACTTTGTGGCTCCGCCATACAGCCTTTGCAGAAAAGACCCATCCTCATCTATTCATTTTTATGACTGGAGCCATTCTCCTTTGGATAACTGAAGGCTGCTACTAGTGAAGACCAGCCATAGGAATGAATGAGGCAAAAGAAGCACATGAACAGTAGAAGCTGGATGCAGCCAGGACTTTTTACTGTAAAGGTTGTGCAGTGCACGGGCAGGACATGCACAGTAAAGAATTCAGGAGTGCTGCTGAAGCCAAGCATTTCAGTATAGAGGCAGCACTAAGGCCCCTCTCACACGGGCATTTCGTATGTCCATTTTTCATCTGTCCGTTTACGAATGAAAAGCGGACACCCATGTATTTTTATGGACTAGCGAATGTAAATGGATGATCATCTGTTTACATTCCTTAATTTCTGCATCCGTTAACACCCATTTTTTAAACGGAAGAAACCCCTATTTTTCTTCCATTAAAAAAATGGAACGGATGAGAAACTGATGTAAACGGACAAAAACCGGATGTAAACTGACCCATTTTTTCTTGGAAAAACATGATTGAACTGATGAAAAAAAAAAAAAAAAACAGAACATCCATGTGAAAGGGGCCTAAGGGGTAAGAAAATTCAAGGACTACTTCACTAAGGCCTCTTTCACATGAGCGTTCCATATCTCCATTTTTCATCTGTCCGTTTACGGATGAAAAACGGACACCCATGTATTTCTATGGACTAGCAGATGTAAACAGATGATCTTCCGGATGAAAAATGGATGTTCGGACATCGTTGATTTTACAAGGGGTGTTATTTAGGAAAAGATATCCCTTTATGTGGATGACACACTGTTATATTTGGGCGATACTTCCACATCCTTAGATGCTGTTATGTCCCTTATTGAACGCTTTGGTGGATTTTCCGGCTTTAAAATTAATTGGCATAAATCAGTGCTGATGACCGTGGATCCTGTAGAACTGCCCCTCCCAGCCTGTGCACAACACATCTAAGTAGTGTCTACATTTAAGTATTTGTGGTAGTTTCTCCTGATCCTAAGAAATATATTTCTCTTAACCTTTCACCTCCACTCCATCAGCAGAAATTGAAGTGTAACAGTTAGTAGAAACTCCCTTTGTCGGTGGTGGGTTGGGTCAATTTAATTAAACGTATTTGGGCCCGCAACTTCTTTATATTTTTCATAATTCTCCCATATGGATTCCTAAGAAATGGTTTAAATCACATAGAGACCCAGTTTAGGAGGCTTATTTGGGAAAAAAAACAAGTGGCTAGAATAAAATTGTCCACGTTGCAACATGGCAAGGAGTCGAGGGGATTGGTGGTTCCTGAGCCCAGACTTTATTTTCTGGCAGCCCAATTGCAGCAACTGGTTGGCTGGGACTTGCCGGATAATACTGATCCCATTATTAGTTTGATTTCCCTTCCTGATCCCACCATTTTGTCTCTTTCTTATCTTGACATGGCTCTACCGGTCCTTACATCCACGGTTCCAACTGCGGACTTCTTGAGGTGCGTTTGGAGTACAGTAAAAGCGTCCTTTCATATTACCGGTTTTCTTTCCTGTACTCCCTTGTGGAATAATCCGCAATATGTAGAACTGGCTAAACTGGAGGTTTTTCATGACTGGAGGGATCGAGGCCTGAAATTTGTATCTCAGCTGTATTCGGGGGCAATCCTAAAGTCCTTTTCTCAACTGCAAATGAAATTTACATTTACACAAAAGCATTCCCCAGCCTGTGCCCTCTCCCCTGACTTCACCATCAAGATCAATAACACAATCATCAGTCCCTCCCCTCATGCAGGGTACTAGGTGTAATCCTAGACTCCCATCTGTCCTTTCAGTCCCAAATCCATTCACTGTCCAAATCTTGTAGACTTCACCTCCGCAACATCTCCAAGATACACCTGTTCCTAACCTCGGAAAATACTAAGCAACTTATTCACTCCCTTGTTATATCTCACCTTGACTATTGTAACTCCCTCCTCATTGGCCTACCGAATCGCAGGCTATCCCCTCTTCAGTCTATCATGAATGCTGCTGCCAGACTCATCCACCCTACTAACCGTTCTGTATCTGCCACCCCTCTCTGCCAATCCCTCCACTGGCTTCCCATTGCCCAACGGATTAATTCAAAACATTAGCAATAACATATAAAGCCATTTATAACTCTGCCCCAAATTAACATCACTGATCTTGTCTCTAAACATCACCCAAACCGTACTCTCCGCTCCTCGCAAGACCTCCTGCTCTCTAGCTCCCTTGTCTCCTCCTCCCATGCTCATCTCCAGGATTTCTCCAGAGCTTCCCCCATCCTCTGCAACTCTCTACTCCAATTTATCAGACCTATTCTGCTCACTTTTAGGCGATCACTGAAAACATATCTCTTCAGGGAAGCCTTTCCTGCCCTCAGCTAATAATGGAATCTTCTACTCTTCCAACCAGTCCATCCCCCACAGTTACTACCTTTTGTACCACTAGCCCCTCCCTCCTAGACTGTAAGCTCCAAGGAGCAGGGCCCTCCTATCCCTCTTGTATTGAACTGGATTGTTGCTGTACTGTCTCCCGTTATATTGTAAAGCGCTGAGCAAACTGTTGGCGCTATATAATTCCTGTAGAATAATAATAATAATTTTTATCGTTATCTTCAGCTACGCTATGCGATACAGGCTCAGTCTTCACTCTCTAATCTCACATTGACAGACTCAGGTTTTCTTGAGGATGTCACTCAGGCAACCCATAAGAAGGGCATGATTTCTCAGGTATACTCCCAGCTATTGTCCACAGTACAGGATCAAGCTAGTCTCCGGAGCAGGGCACAGTGGTCCCAGGATATTGGAGAGTTTGCTGGAGAAGTCTGAGATGCTGCCCGGGAATCTGTCTTTCTCCCTCTCATAAATTGTCTCAATTGTTTATTCTCCATGGAGCGTAAAGGACCCCTGTGCAACTGTATCGGTGGAGCAGGCGTGATTCACCTGATTGTCCGAGGTGTAGGGTCCAACAGGTTGATTTCATTCATATGCTCTGGCGTTGCCCCAAGTTACATAGATATTGGAGTGAGGTTCTCCAATTTATTTCTCTAGTATTGCAATATGCTGTTCCCCAGGATCCCTTGCATTGTCTGTTGGGGGCATTGGACCAAGAACTGTTCCAACCAGGAGGATATATTATGGTATCTAGACTTTTATATATGTGGCTAGGAAGTTGATAGCAAGGTATTGGTTATCGTCGACTCCTCTGACAAGTAAGTAATGGATAGATTGTTAATTCTTTACTCCCAGGGGAGAAACTCATGTACCAACATCGCAATGCTTATGGTAAGTTCCAGCAGGCATGGCAGGGTTGGCTGGATACACCTGGGCTCGCCCCTTCTCAATTGATAGTGGACCGACTTTTGCAGGTGTGATATTTTAGATCAGGTGCATGGCTCCACTTCTCCCCCTGGGGGACTTCATGTGCATCTCCCATTCTTTTTGATGAGATGTCTTGGGTGAAGCAGAGGTTGTTGTTCATGTGTGTTTTTTTTTTTTTTATTGTTTGATGGCATGTTTTGGGCTTTGTTCCTTTCCCCCCATTTCTGTTTACATCTGGCCGGGAAGGAAAAAAAGATGTAAAAAGGAAAAAGCAAGATATTGCCAAGAAAGTTTTGGATCTCTGTGGTTTCTGTTTTGTTTGATTACCATTTCTGTTATTCTGTTTACTACGGGATCTGCGTATCCACGTTGTTTTATTTATGTGTAATACTGCTGTTGCAGTAATGTCATTGTGGATTCTGTAAGTACTGTTCCATTTTCTCTATTATCTTGACAATAAAAGTTGTTTGGAAAAAAAAAAAAAAAAAAGAACAGACCTGCTAGAAACCAGACAAAGTAATGATGTGACCATAGGCTACAACATTTTATATGCAGTACAACTGGATTGTAACCTAACATCAGCCAATTTGTGGTCAGCTTCAGTTCAATGTGATAATTCCTCACATTTACAACTCTCTTTGAGCTTAAAGAAAAACAAATATATATATATAAGAAATGTCATACCAGTTATTTCCAGCAGTCTGTCAGCAAGTGTACTTTTACCGTGGTCCACATGGGCTATTATACTAAAATTTCTAATGTATTCAGTGCTATATTCGGACATATCAATTCTTTCCTGAAAGAAATTGCACAGAAATAGAACAGATTGTATATGGTGATGCAACAGAAATAATAACTGTAAATTATATAGATTAAGACAGCATCCAAAAGATGGGCTTTTAGCTGAAGAATGCAAGCTAACCAACCTTGACCATGAAGAATGTATGCATCATGGATGATCAGTTAAAGTTAAAATATTACTAAACCCACAAACAGTAAAATCAATCTGTATATGCAGTAAAGCATGCTAGTTATACTCACTGTGGTACCTAAGGGGTTAATCCTCTGCATTGTGTAAAAAGGGTGTCTGATCCTGTCTGCACTGATCCTCCCCTTCTTCCACAGCCCCCAATCCATCTGCTGACTAAATAGAGCCTTGGGGGCAAGCTGCAGATGCTCAGTTTGGTGTGTATTGCTAATGAGTTTTTTTTCTTTTCTTGGGAGAGTGCATGTGATCAGTACAGGATGAATCAACACTGTCCAGACAGAGGGATAGGGGTCTTACAACCTAATAGGACAATCAGGGGAGAATGAAAACTCCTCCTAAAAGCTTTAACCACTGCTCTGCTGGACACTGATAGAAGTCACAAGACTGTTGTAACTGCTGATAAGAAAAGGTATTTAACAATTTTTTTGAAACTGCACTGAATCCACACTGAATGTGCTCCGGCAGTGTACCGGACATATGTGAACAAGCACCATAGGCAGCAATGTTATTTCACGTCATGCGGATTGTATGCGGTTCAAACCACATCCAATCTGCATATATGTGAACGGGCAATTAAAGTGTTACTAAACCCACAACAGTAAAATCAGTCTGTATATGCAGTAAAGCATGCTTGTTATACTCACTGTGGAACCTAAGCGGTTAATCCCCCACATTGTGTAGAAAGGATGTTGGATCCTATCTTCTCTGACCCCCAGCTTTTCTACTGTCCCTAATCCATCTGCTGATAGAAAAGATCCTTGGAGGACAAGCTGCACATGCTCAGTTTAATGTGTAGTGCTAGAGTTTTTTTTTTCGTTGGGAGAATGCATGTGATCAGCACAGGGCCAATCAGCGCTGTACAGACAAAGGATCAGGGGTCTTGCCGCCTCATTGGACAATCAGGGAAAAATGAAAACTCCTCCTACAAGCTTTGACCAGTGCTCTGCTGGACACTGACAGAAGTCACAAGACTGCTCTATACTGCTGAGAAAAGGTATTTAGCAGTTTATAGTTACTAAAATAATTGCATTTCTATGTTGTGTGTACTGTGGGAGACCAGATATAGAGAATGCAAGGTCCTGGGTTTAGTAACACTTTAACCTCATAACTTTTTTTTTTTTTAACCCTAATGCATTAGCTGCAATTATGTGGTTCTAAAGTCAAGACTTTTTTTACATTAATGTATTCCCTGCATTAAGGTAAAATATATCCCAGTATCAGTATTGCTCCCTCACACCTTGTATACTTTGAATTAGAATTTTATGTCAATCTAATGCTGTGCCCATCTGCAGCAGCTCTGGTCTGTGTTCCTCTCCCCACAGGAAACTGAAGCAGCAGTGGGAGTCATTGGCTCTGCTGCTGTCAATAGAATCCTGTGGGAAGAGAGTGTGGGAGAGTAGAGGTCTACGAACACACACAGTCCAGCTTGGGAGTGAGCCTGCACATGTGCCACTATAGCAAGCAGCTTGCTATGAGGACACACAGAAGAGGATGAGCCAAGCGCGCCGGCAAGGAACCCCAGAAAAGAAGGTTTTGGGGCCGCTCTGTGCAATACCATTGCACAGAGCAGGTAAGTATAACATGTTTATTATTTTAATAAAACAATTTCAATACCCCAAAATGTAGCTTTTATCTTGAATCTTCCTGAAAAAAAACAGCAGTGCTGGTCAGTGAGGGTGCTTAGTCACTCCTGTGCCTTCAGCCTCATAGCTGTATATCTTCACTGTAAATCTATGGCTCTGCCGCCCTGCTAGTCTCAAGAGATGGAGTGAGGTTAAGGGATGTCACTACTGTGCTGCTCACTGTTCTCCTTGCTGGAGGCTTGACATCAGGAAGCAAAGCCCTGCCTCTACTAAAATGGCCACATCCACGTTATGCAGACAGTGTAGAATAAGGCATGGTGAGTCAGTAATGGGAGACTGTTGAGCAGCAGGTAGACCACAGGCAATACTAGCAATTATTTCCTTGCCCCATGCCTGCCTTTTTTTTTTTGGGGGGGGGGGGGGGGGGGGGGGGGGGGGGGGTAACGACACTCTCCAGAGTTCAGTTTCTTGTGAAAATATACAAATGGAAAACCTTGGTGTCACAGGCAAGATTTTGAGGTTATAGGTGAAAATACAGGTCAGTGACTTTATGCCAAACAAGCCACCCAAAAAAACACAGACACCATTATGTAGCTATCATTATAATGTATGTGTCCTATTGGCAGGGCTGCTATTAGAAACCACGGGGCCTCATACAGCCAACCTGACAGGCCCGCCTACCCCCCCCCCCCCCCAAAAAAAACCCAGTTTACTATGCTTCAGTTATGAATAAACACAGTGGGTGGTCAGTACTGATCACTGATTGCGTTCATTCAGGAAAGGCAGCGACTGGTAACATTTACCGGACCGTTCCCCACTCTCCATCCTGAAGAATCCTACTGTGTGCTTGCAGCTGCTATTGGAAAGCAGAAGATGGAATCTGGCAGCACTTCAGAGGTGGGGGCAAACATGGGGGCCTGGGCAGAAGGGGGTAAAATATGGTACACAGTAAGAGTGATGGTTGTGGCAGGGGGTCCACTGGGTGGGGGCACACATGGGGGCCTGGGCAGAAGGGGGAAACATATGGTGCACAGGGAGGGTGATGGGTGTGGCAGGGGGGCCAGGGGGAGACATAAAGTGCACAGGGAGGGTGATGGGTGTGGCAGGGGGCAATTACTGGAACTGATCCTCTGCAGCAGCTGAAAAAGGGAGGAAGAGAAGAAGCCAGCTTTCAGCTGTTGCAGGGAGAGGGCCATACATGGGATCGGTTCCAGTAATTGCCAATCCGTTGTGCTGATCACCCTCCCTGCCCACATCCAATCCACTCAGTTTCCTTGGCCCCCTGCTGGCCTGGGCCCCGTTCAGGTGGACTGGTGGTACCCCCTTATCCAAGGCCATGCCGATTGGGCAGACAACAGACATCACAGAGATGGCCCCCAGATACATCAACAGACAGGAACAGGTAAAAAAAGGATTTTAAAGATAGCAGCAACATTGTTTAGAGTAGTTATATTTCATGCTTTATCATAATTTGTCACCTTTTTAGTACTAAAGGGCACAGCCTGATGTGTAGATTGGACTGTTTGTAATACACCATGGCTTCCATAGAGCGTGCCAACCAATCCTTTCTGAGCAGACAGATGTGTGTAAAACATACGGATTTTGTACTTCCATAGAAGCAGGCATCTTCCAGTACAATGTGGGCTGAAAGCATTCATCTCTCCGAATACCGTCTATGATCAGCTCTGTATCATCCCGCATAGACCTCACTGAATTCCAGCATTTAAGTGTAAGGAGGTTGCTGTTCATGTCTTTCACATCCTCACTACAAAGATATTTCTGGAGGAGATTGTAAGGTCCTGCAATAAATAAAAAAGTACACAATAAAACCTGGGCTTGAAGATCAGTCAATGTCTAGGCTAAACAGAATGCAAGGCAGGATTTGAAAATGGTTATTAAAATCATATCTGAAGACAAAATATAATATCATCCCTTTAAAGCAGTGGTCTCAAAACCTCAGACCAGATATGGTCCTTTGCTTGACTTAATCCAGCCCTTGGGTCACTTTTCCTTTCACTGGCACCAATAACGGAGCACTATTCCTCCCACTGACACACCCAACGGGGCACTATTCCTCCCACTGACACCAACAATGGGACACTATTTCTCCCACTGATACCAACAATGGGGCACTATTCCTCTTTCTGACACCAACAATAGGGCACTACTTCTCCACTGACACCAACAATGGGGCACTATTCCTCCCACTGACACCAATAATGGGGCACTATTCCTCCCACTGACACCAACAATGGGGCACTATTCCTCCCACTGACACCAACAATGGGGCACTATTCCCCACACTGACACCAACAATGGGGCACTATTCCTCCCACTGACACCAATAATGGGGCACTATTCCTCCCACTGACACCAACAATGGGGCACTATTCCTCCCACTGACACCAACAATGGGGCACTATTCCCCCCATCAACACCAAAGATGAGGCACTACACCAACAATAGGGCACTATTCTTCCCACTGACATCAAGGATGGGGCAGCATTCCTCCCACTGACACCAACAATGAGACACTCCCACAAATCGCAGTGATGGTTCACTATTCCACCTCCTATTGATCACAGGCACTATGTATTTTTTTACTCCCACTGACCACCAAGCCTGAGGCAATGTTTAATCTCATTATTGCTGGGACATTTTCTATTTCCACTGGCCACAGTCTGGTCCCCCTAAAGTCTGAAGGGCAGTATGTTGGCCCTTTGTTTAGACAGTTTTAAGACCCCTGCTTTAAAGCATAAGAAAGGGCAAACTGGATGGATCATGGATAGGGTGGAGAGGATTAGAATGCCTGCCAGGCCTTTATTGCTCTCTGTGCCCCCGATAAGGAGATTCACCCTCTCTGATTGTCCTGATCACTGTTATCATCAAGAGTGAAAAAAAATCCTATGTTTTGAGTTGTCACTGGAAGAGGAATATAGGGGAAATTTCCCAATACAGACACTAGCTCTGATGACCTGGCTGAAAGCTAGGAGTTTCCCTAATTTTGGAAAGATGTCTTCCTGTTGTGGCTATGAGACAGGAAGAAAAAAGAAATGTCCCCATGCGACACAGATGGCAAATTAACAATGTGGCCTCCTGCGGATTTACCCCCTTCCTGACCAGGCCATTTTTTGCGTTATGGCGCTGTGTTACTTTAACTGACAATTGCGCGGTCATGCAACGCTGCACCCAAATGAAATTTACGTCCTTTTTTTCTCATGAATTGAACTTTCTTTTGGTGGTATTTGATTGCCTCTGTGTTTTTTATTTTTTGCGCTATAAAAAAAAAATCCCAACAATTTTGAGCAAAAAACTATAATTTTGACTTTTTGCTGTTAAAAATGTCCAGTAAAAAAAATTAAAAAAAATCTAATTTTGTCATAAATTTAGGCCAAAATGTATTCTGCTACATGTCTTTGCTAAAACAAAAAATCCCAATACGTGTAAATTAAATGGTTTGCGTGAAAATTTACAAATGGCGGTATAGATACTGGAATATTTTTTACAATAATTATTATTTTTTTACTAGTAAATGCGGGGATCAGCGACTTATAGCAGGACTGCGGTGGGCATTCTGGCACTGGGGGGGGAACTGACTTGGTGTCACTGAATCCCCAATGACACCAATACAGTGATCAGTGCTAAAAAAAAAAAAGCACTGACACTGTACTAATGGCACTGGGCAGGAAGGGGTTAACATGAGGGGCGATCAAAGGGTTAACTGTGTGCTCGGAGTGTTTTACTGAGGGGCTGTGTCAGTGTGCTTCACTGTAAGTACACTGCTTTGCATGGCTGTGCTGTGCCATCCAAAGCAGTGTGCACGAACTGACAGGGAGGAGAACTGTTAGTAAACAAAACAGTTCTCCTCCCCGTTGGAGATCGTTGGACATTACCAGGCGCCGGCAAGTAATCACCAGCCGAGACCCCGGTGATTGACAGCCGCGGCCGTGAGTGGCGGCGGGGGAGGGCTCATGCGTGCCCCCTACCCGAAAATGCTAAATTACACACACACACACACATATATATATATATATATATATACAGTATATATATACACACGTGATTTTGCGAACCCGTACTGCCCTGTAGCAGTATTTCTGCTATAGGGTGCACGGGAAGCGGTTAAAAAAATAACAAACAAACTGATAGGGGTTATATGTAATCCTCCCTTACTCTACTTAAAAATATTTTTTCCTTAGTTATACTTTAAGCATGCTGCAAGTGCTGAAAAGCTGTTGATGAGTTCCTATCTTTCTCTTTGACATGACAACACAACTCTGAATTCCAAAGTACACAATGTTGTAAAACAAACAATATCAGGTATTGCAGGCAGAGCTAGAGTCTATAATATTCCACTCACATATTATAGGTGCAACAGAGAAGCTTCCTGAAGACATGCTACAAGCAAAATCCATCGAGGCTCATGCTGCATGTGTCACTTCTGGGTATTGGAACGCACGCCGACCACAGGATGAGCGGTGGGTGTGGGGGGGAGAGATCACCCTAGTGAGCTGTTTGGGTTGGTGCTCTCCTATATAATGTGAGTGGTATACATTTTTTATATATTTCTGAATAACAAAGTTTCTGCACTGTGACTATCTTGGCCTCTTTCTGAGATACGGAGAATGGAGAAGGTGGTTTAATGTCATTGGATTGGAGGAGGTTGAAGGATTCTGCAGGATTGTGTATCACACCCAAGACATACAGGATCTGTGTTTACCAGTTGCTGGCTACTTTGTTGGTCTGGTGAGTTCCCATTTCAGCCATACACGGTGGTGGAACACAATTTGGAGTTGCAAGGACTAGTCAGTAGTTGGGCTGTCACATTAGGACTTTTTTCAGATATTTTGGATTTCAATTTTTTTGGGACACAATATTATATTTGTTCGATCCATAGATAATTTGTATGATTATCATGATTGCACTAGTTTGGGGAGTGCCTACCTTTATTAATTGCACTTTTAGGTTATTTATAGATATATAGAAAATTTCCGTGAGCTACTGATTGTATTGTATACCGTTCTTTGATCAAATAAGTGCCAAGACAGATATCCACATATACATCTATGAATAGCTGTAGATTAACTGTATAGCTCACATACAAAAATGGTAAGGTTTTTTTTTTTTTTTTTATGCAGCCACTGGATGTAGATGGATGTATTCTCCCCACTGTGATATTGTATTCTGACTGCGGGGCTCCTCTGCTGTCAGAATACACTGATCAGTGCTACAGCTGCTGATCAAACAAAAGATTTCCAACAATCCTGTTTGACTTCTGTTAAGCAGAAAGGCCATAGATGAATTGAAACTTGACCAATCCCTGCTGAACCGGCTGAACTTCGATCCATCTAAGGCCAGCTTAAACACCCCTAAAGCTGCTGTCTCTGTTTTGGCTGTACACAAGCAGTTTGAAGCACACTTCTCTGAAAATGTCAGATACACTATATTGCCAAAAGTATTGGGACACCCCTCCAAATCATTGGATTCAGATGTTCCAATCCCCTCCATGGCCACAGGTGTATAAAATCAAGCACCTAGGCATGCAGACTGCTTCTACAGACATTTGTGAAAGAATGGGTCGCTCTCAGGAGCTCAGTGAATTCAAGCGTGGTACCGTGATAGGTTGCCAAACACAAATACTCCAGCGCTTAGGGTTGAACTTAAAGTCTACAGTTCCGTCCTGGCTATCCTGGATGGTGCACGCCTTGCTGCCCTCAAGGACTGGGGAAGTCCAAAGACACTGGATGCAAAAGAAAAAAAACAAGGTGCTAAGTATTATACTCACAAAGGACAAGTACATCAAGAGCTCATCACAAAAAGGAACAGCAATGTCCAGTCCACATTGCATAGCTTCACACAATAGGAACTCTGGACCTCCAACAAGTTAACGCATTTCGAGGTCTTGCCTCTCCCACGGAGCCAATAGCTATTGGCTATGTACTGTGGACTGGACATTGCTGTTCCTTTTTGTGATGAGCTCTTGATGTACTTGTCCTTTGTGAGTATAATACTTATCAACTTTTTTTAATAAAATGTATTTTAGGTAATGCACTAGGTTAGTGTGCCCTCTGTTTGTTTTCTATTGCATCCTGTGATAGGTTGCCACCTGTGTAATAAGTCCATCCATGAAATTTCCTTGCTACTAAATATTCCAAAGTCAACTGTTAGGGGTATTATAACAAAGTGGAAGCAACTGGGAACAACAGCAACTCAGCAACGAAGTGGTAGACCATGTAAAATGACAGAGTGGGGGTCAGTGCATGCTGAAGTGCGCAGAAGTCGCCAACTGTCTGCAGAGTCAACAGCTAAAGATCTCCAAAACTGTGTGTGGCTTTCAGATTAGCACAATAATGTGTAGAGAGCTTCATGGAATGAGCAGCTGCATCCAAGACTCGCATACCGAAGTGCAATGCAAAGTGTCGGATGCAGTGGTGTAAAGCACATTGCCACATCTAGAGCAGTAGAGACATGTTCTCTGGAGTGACCAATCACACTTCTCTGTCTGGCAATCCGATGGACATGTCTGGGTTTGGTGGTTTCCAGGAGAACGGTACTTGCCTGATTGCATTGTGCGAAGTGTAAAGTTTGGTGGAGGGGGGATTATGGTGTGGGGTTATTTTTCAGGGGTTGGGCTTTGCCCCTTAGTTCCAGTGAAGGGAACTCTTAAGGCATCAGCATACCAAGACATTTTGGACAATTTCATGCTCCCAACTTTGTGAGAACAGGTTGGGGATGGCCCCTTTCTGTTCCAACATGACTGTGTTCCAGAGCATAAAGCAAGGTCCATAAAGACATGGATGAGCGAGTTTTGGGTTAAGGAACTTGACTGGCCTGCACAGAGTCCTGACCTCAACCCGAAAGAACACCTTTGGCATGAATTAGAGCGGAGAATGCGAGCCAGGCCTTCTCATCCAACATCAGTGCCTGACCTCACAAATGCACTTCTGGAAGAATGGTCAAATATTCCCATAGACACACTCCTAAACCTTGTGGCCAGCCTTCCCAGAAGAGTTGAAGCTGCTATAGCTGCAAAGGGCGGGCCAACCCAATATTGAACCCTATGGACTAAGACTGGGATGCCATTAAAGTTCATGTGTGTGGAAAGGCAGGCTTTTGGCAATATAGTGTACCTTTAAAGTGTTACTAAACCCACAAAAGTAAAATGAGTTGGTATAATCAGTAAAGGTTGCTTGTTATACTCACTGTGGAACCTAAAGAGTTAATTCTCCACATTGCATGAAAAGGCTGTTTGATCCTGTCTTCTCTGATCCTCCCCTTCTTCTAATGTCCCCAATCCATCTGCTGATAGTACAGACCTCTAGAGGCACTCTGCATATGTTTAGTTTAGTGAGTATGGCTAGACAGTTTTTTTTCTTTAGGAGAGTGCATATGATCAGCACAGGGCCAATCAGCACTGTCCAGACAGAAGGTCAGGGGTCCTGCAGCCTCATAGGACAGTCAGAGCAAAATGAAAACTCCTCCTACATTAACCAGTGCTTAGTTGGATACTGATAGAAGTCATAGGACTGTTCTAACTGCTGACCAGAAAAGGTATTTAGCAGTTTATTAAAATAATTGCATTTCCATGTTGTGTGTACTGTGGGAGACCAGATATAGTGAATGCAGGGTCCTGGGTTTAGTAACACTTTCACCCCCTTCTTGCCTAGGCCAATTTTCAGACTTCAGCGCTGTTGCACTTTGAATGACAATTGCGTGGTCATGCAACATTGCACCCATATGAAATTTTTATCATTTGTTTCACACAAATAGAGCTTTCTTTTGGTGATATTTTATCACCACTGGGTTTTTATTTGTTACACTATAAACAAAAAAAAGAGCAAAACATTTTTAACAAAAAGTTTTTCTTTCCTTCTATGATAACATTTTACAAAAAGGAAAATTTTTCTCCTTCATTGATTTGCGTTGATGAGGTGGCACGGATAGGCAGCACCGATGGGCACTGATGATTTTGCACTGATATGCAACAATGATGGGCGGCACTGACTGACGGCACTGATGGGGGCAACTGCAGGGCAGCAATAATGGGTGCAACTGCTGGGTACTGATGATCAGTGCAGATCTACTCTGTGACATTTGCCAGCTATCAGCAGTACTTTTCTCATGCTGTGACAGTGTGAGGAAAGTGCTGCTGACAACTGGCAACTGTATTTACTTTGTGATCTGCTGTGTCATTGGACACAGCTGATCTCGTGATAAAAGGCCACTGTGAGTGGCCTTTTACCTAGTCATGTGATCAGCGCCGCTGGGGGGGCGTGTGTTCTAGAAAGACCTCTCACCTTCCTGATCTGCATACTTGTCCTGGGTTAGTGACTCAGTAACAGCACAGTTGCTTAGCAGTTAGCACATCTGCCTTGCAGCACTGGGGTCTTCGGTTTAAATCCCAGTCAGGGCACTATCTGCATGGAGTTTGCATGTTTGCTCTGCACTTGCATAGGTTTCCTACCACACTCCAAAGACAAGCTGGTAGGTTAACTGTTTCCTGTCTTAATTTGCCCTGTGTATGTAGAGTAGGGTTGTTTTTCGTTGTAAGCTTCTCAAGATGCAAATGTACAGTATGTACAGCACTGTGTAAACGGTCAGTACTTTATAAATGCCTAGAATTAAGAAAATGTGGGTATTAATTTACAAAGGAGGTCAGCAATAGCAACCCCAATTCATCTTACTAACCGCTCTATATCTGCCACCCCCCCTCTGCCAATCCCTCCACTGGCTTCCAATTGCCCAACGGATAAAATACAAAACACTAACACTGACGTATAAAGCCATTCATAACACTGCCCCAATTACATCACCGACCTTGTCTCTAAATACCACCCATACTGTACTCTCCGCTCCTCGCAAGACCTCCTACTCTGTAGCTCCCTTGTCTCTTCCTCCCATGCTCGTCTCCAGGATTTCTCAAGGATTTGTCAGACTATCGCCTACTCTGCTCACCTTTAGGCGCACTCTGAAAACCCATCTCTTCAGGGAAGCCTACCCGTCCCCAGCTAATACTGGAATCCAATACTCCTCCTACCACTCCATCCCCCCCAGCTAATTACCTCTTGTACCACTATCCCCTCCCTCCTAGATTGTAAACTCCAAGGAACAGGGCCCTCTAATCCCTCTTGTATTGAACTGTATTGTTACTGTACTGTCTTCCTCCATAATATAAAGCGCTGAGCAAACAGTTGGCGCTATATAAATCCTGTATTGTATAATAATAATCTCTCATGACAGGTTTAGTTCAGCAGGAGGAGTGAGACTTTATAATCAAGGGTCAAGACATGAAGAAAAGCTAATTAAACCTACAAGTGTGTATCTGAATATTAATGTCTGTGACGTTGCCTGTGCTGGTCTGGGTCACACTGGAGTGTTCAGATCTATTGACAAACACATCTGTATATAATCTTGTATTTGTTTTTCTTCTTTGATCGCACAGAGCCTCTTGTCTACAAACAGGAAACAATGTTCAGAACAGACAGAGTCAGAACAATGTGGTTACAAGTCACATACTTCCAGCATAGAGCTCGATCCCAGCACACTGCATGGACTGGCCAGGAGTCTGGCAGGCAAGTGATCAGAATATACATTCCTATACTTAGAAGAGGAAATCATCTAATAAAGTAACCTTGGTGTCGGTGTCAGTACAGAGCAGTGTGATCACTGACAGTACACAGTACAGACCCAACAGTGTCATCTCACCTTCCCACATATGTCCTATGCAGCCAGCACTCCATGTGAGCCTCTCTCCCAGAATGCACTGCTACTCTTAAAGTGGCAATGTCAAAGCTAAAGCTTTAAAAGGGCAATGATACTTTGTAGCACTATTGTAGACCTTGGCTTAGCATTCTGTAACCATGTAGCCAGAATACACCATCAACAGCATGGGCGTGCTGCAACAGTAAAGAACACAACTTTCTGGTCACGTTCACACCTATGGAGTTTCTTGCAATGCGTTTTTTTTTTTTTTTAAAGATGCATGGACTTTTTTTTATCCTTGGCTCACACTTTTAGTGCATTTTGCAGAAACATACTACAGTCCATTTAACATAGTTTCCTATACATCTAGTTCACATCTGTGTTTTGAGCTGGTGCATTTTTTGGAAAGGTTCAGGGACTTTTTTTCTCGCAGCAGATTGCATTTTGCATGTAATAGACTTCAATGGACCTGCACCAAAAACGTGTTGCATGACTGATGCATTTTTTTTATATGTTTTGCATTTTTTTTGGGCTAATAGGTAAGTATGACAGTTTTGTTCATGTGGTACAATTTTGATGCAACTTTAATGCGACTTTACACTCTCTGGCATCAAGTAGCATCAAAGTACCACAGGAACCTTCATGTGTCCAAAGTCACATGCTACCCTAGGTTCACACCTAAACGTTTTCCGCAGCATTTTGCAGAAACGCACTACAGTCCATTTAACATGATTTCCTATCAAACATGTTCACATCTCTGCGTTTTCACCCAGTGTGTTTTTTGGAAAGGGTCAGGGACTTTTTTGGACACAAAGTTGCATTTTTGGTTCTATAGACTTCAATGGAAGAGCTGTAGAAAAGCATGTAGTGCATTTTTGCTGCGTTTGTGCCGCGTTCTGCATTTTAAATCTGCCTAGCAACAAGAAAAAAATGCAAAACGCAGCAAAAACACAACACAAAATGCAATGCAGAAACAGGTCAAATGCAAACTGCATAGGTGTGAACCTAGCCTTGGGGTTAGCAGTAATTGTTAGGTTTACCTGTAATTGTTAGAACGCTAACCCTAACAACTACCACTAACCCTATCCCTTAATCCTACCCACATGGAAGAAAAATATATTTGAAAAATATTCTTCCCAAATAAATTGATATATATTTGAAATGCTACAATTTTGGCCATATTCAATATATATATATATATATATATATATATATACTGCATGTTGAAATGCATTTTTATATATTAAAAAGTATATGAAAAATATTAAAATATATATATATTTTTCAAATATATTCTTCAGATTTTTTTTAACATATAAAAAAGTGATTTTAACATATATTTTTACATATATTTGTAAATGCATCCCAAAAATGTAGATTTGTATTTTATTTTTAAAGACATACAGTATATTTGAAATGTATTTTTTAAAAATATATTTTGTAATAAAAACACATTTCAACATGCAGTATATATATATATTTATTGAAATATATTCAATATGGCCAAAATTGGACCATTTCAAATATATGTCAATATATTTGGGAAGAATATTTTTAAAATATATTTCAAATTTATTTTCCTTCCATGTGGGATAGCCCTAACATCTGACTTTGGACAGATAGATGTTCCTGCACTACTTTGATGCGACTACTATGAAGCTACTTGAGTCCCAGAGAGTGTAAAGTCGCATCATCGCACTATATGAAACACAACTGGCTTACTTTCCTATTAGCCCCCCCCCCCCCTG